TTCTCATGCAATCGATAGCATTTATAACGTACCTAGACATTCGTACGTAAGGAATGCTATAGTTTCTTCTGTAATTAGGTTATCAAGTGAGAACTTCCACAGTACATGGTTTGAAATACGTTGACCAAGTCATACGTCATTTGAAATGTAGGTCATGTTTAGACTGTACAAGATAGTTGATGTACTACATTTACTTATCAAATTTGAAAACCAATATCATTTTCGTTATCTGACTTATGAAAGCTTTATATTCGAAATTATTTTTTCACTACCTGGAGAACACTTTAAGAATTAAAAAATGTGAATGGAGTTGTTTGCCAACGACGTGGGATATTAGATTTTTAAAAATGCATGGTGTTGCAAATATCGCACTTTACTTCTTTAAAGTATTTTCCTTAAATAGAAACAAATACTCTTGTTTCTTCGTTTTGAAAAATTGCAGATTGGTTTCTGTTCTAATTTTGTCTCCAAAATATTCTTTTAGTGTTAAAAGGACCACGGATGGATAAAAATAATTCGCAGGGTAATATTTAAAGACCCCCTAGACACTTACTGGAGATAAAATGGATACATAGGTTAAAACGACATCGATTGACTCCAAAGCAACGAGACGTTTCAGAAACCATCTTACACGTACAATGTGCGAATAAATGACATAATTTTCAACAGCAAACTGAAGCCTGTGGTATTTTTATCTTGCTTCATAATGTTTTAACATTATTTCTTTAAATTTCAAGAACAGAAATTAATGAAATGAATACCTAAACTTTGGAATAAATTTGATTTTTTGTTCAAATTGTTTACCCCAAGATGGTTAATTAATTTTTATTAATCTTCAAAAGTAGTTATTTAAAAAAATTAATGCTCTTCTGCAATACACAAAACAAACAGTTACCACTAATTTTGCATAAAAATCTTACTAGCAAAAGTGTCCATTCTTATATTAAACTGAAGGAAACTCGAAATAAGATCGCACCCAATATCTTACATGTATCTAATTTCCATTTGAATAAATCAAAATTATGTAGAAGCCCGAAAAAGTGTACTATTTAGAGTCAATTTCTGTTAAATTGTGAATTACGAAATTTCTTGTCTTTTTCCTCTTTGGATAGTGAGAAAAAGTTGCCAATTCAAATTGCCCAAACTTTGATAAAGGCAAAGTGAACGTTAGAGTGATTGTTTGTAAACAATACACATATATTCCCTTTATCAGGACATATTATGGGTACAAACAATCAAGGAACATTGACCAAATCTCCGTAAGACCCTTACTATCATGACACAATGTAACCTTATCTTCCAAGGGGGTCCTGCGTATTAGATATGAAACAGACAAAGCATTAACCTGCATGACTCAAAATTAGATTCTATTAAGATGATATATGATTAAAGCTGGTGACTTCACCTACATTAATTAGACATCCATTTTAGCAAGTCTTAGGATATATAATCAAACGCCTTGTGTATTTACAAAAGATTAAGGTAATCTGTCCCTTATTTAGGTGAAGACTTTTGCTGTTTAGTAATGCTGACAACATTCATTCGTGAATGGGACGCAAACACAAACTTATATTGGCACTTATTTATTCTTCTCGTAGTAGATTTATACTTCGACAATATTTCTTTTTCTTGAGAAACAAAATAGCTTAAGATATCGAGAAATACATGAAGGCGCTTCAAAAAGTATACTCCAAAAATCTAGCATAAACTCAGCTAGTGACATTTCGAAATACACTTTTGAAAGATAACAAGAAAATAAAATGTTGTATATGACTTCAAAATAAAAATTCATAGTTCTACAGATCTGCAAAATACGATTCATACACTAGGAGAATAAACATTAAAATAAAAAAGAGAAACATCTTATGAATATGATAAATAAAAAAAAACATTTGGAAAAGTTTATTTTAAAAATAACTGAAAAATAGAAACATACAAATCATATTACGTTAACAGTAGTCTCAAACACTGAACCACAGTACTCGGACCATTTTAGACACTAGTTATTTCAACACATTTGCTTGTGTTTGCTTGTGTTTTAATCAACTTTAATTGAAATTCATATCTATACAAAAGGAGTTGTTCAGTATTTATAACCCAGTATCAAAATCAAATTTCAAATCTTAAAGTTAATCCATGTACTTCCTGCTGCATTACTTACATCCACGCTACTTCCGGTTGCATGTACCTTACAAAATTAGCATAAGTCTAACCTTCAGGCTCGATCAGCACAAAAGAAAATCACCTAAAGTATTGCAACAAAAATAGTCCGTGTATTTAATATATATGCCTTAGTACAATTTAGTAAGATTATTTCAGATCTCTTACTCAAAATAAATGTACCTTTCAGTTTTGCACGTTTGTTTAACAGAAAAGTATAACTCATTTAGAAAATACACAACCCAGCTCTCCCCTCCCCAAGGACGACAGTGCTTTCACGTGTAATAAATGTGTTGAACATTCAAGCGTGCAGGAGAATAACCACAAATAGATGTTCAAAGTCCGTAAACGGAATTAGGAGACTGGATTTTAATTAAATAGATAGTAACCAGATATAAAAAGGGTGAAACTCCCACTCATAACAATCAAATTCACATAAATTAAAGGGACTTCCTATAAAGTAAATACAGTATATACACGAAGATTATACAAAATTGTTGAAATAGAAAAACTCTTTTGAAAACGAAAAAAGGTTTGATAAAATACTAGTTAGACTCGTTTCCAAATAACGTTTTACAATATGGTGGACCAGTCTTTTTCTTTAGCATATTGCTATGAAAACTGAGTATTAACTGCATTAAGTAACTAAATTACTGGAAAAAAAATGGAAGATTTACATTACTCTTTTAGATTCTCTAGCTTATATTCAATTAAATATTATGCAGGCAATTTAAGCACACACAGATTCTATATATTACTTTTACGAATGCATTTCTAAGTTGCGCGAGTTTCCGTTGCTTTTTTTGCATACGAACAATACACCGAAGTACCTTTTACCTTTTGGATGTTTACGAAGAGTTCAAATGACTTTCTTATTGACATAATCAAACCACAACTCAAAATAAGAAGAGTTCGTTGTTTGCTAATCAAAATGATAAGCAAGGTTTATCAAAATCTAACACTTCAGTACATTAAGCCTGATATTTCATGGATACGAATGCACTGTCTTTTTTTTTTTATTATTATTTTTTAAGTCCACTACGATATACACCTTGTGACTAAGGTTATTAACATTGACAATCAGTGCAAATTATTTTTTTTTTATATGTTTTTCATTTTTTAGATTTGCCAAAATTCGTATTTTGCGCTCAATATATATATCCAATACAAAACAACAAAACGAAGAAAATACAGTCTATTATGTTCTGACTAACACTAATATTTGACATAATTATCGTGAAGCACAAAATAATACACATCTAACTAACAACAATAAAGATGAATTAATATTATCTAATTAATAAACCAGTTTTGCAATTTTGCGAATTTTTGAACATATTTCAGAAGTATTTTAAGCCTAAGAAAAAATTGCTACTATTACATGTAAAAACATTAATAAAAAAAGAGATTCGTCTTTAGAAAATACTTTATCCTACATTGACTGAAAACAAAGCTTTGAGTATGTCCTCCTACGAAGCAAATGTTGTAAAGACATTGGATATCGGGAAAATACAAGATTTTAGTATCCTGCTTTCTATTTAGTCATCTAAAATACAAAAAAGTTAGAAAATGCAGAAGAATAAAATAGTAGCAGTATGTTTATTTGTTGAAATTTCCATTATATGAGATTTTTCAGCACTCGTGAATGAAACTCGCAAAAAGGGTTTGCATATAAAATTCTAATCCTTCATAACTGGGTATGAGGTACTAGTAAAAGCAGTAATAGTATTCAATTATTTTCATAAATATTCGTTTGAAATTGAGCATAAAATGCTCAGTAGGTGATCATGTGACCTCAAGCATCTTATGTTATTATTTCATAAAATAAATACGTCTTTTGTACCTCAAAATAGCTTCGAGGGTAAACATCTGAAACCTTGTTGCACATTTATATGAGTACAATCATATTCCAAAAGATGAATTAGCTACTGCGTAAAATATAAGAGTAGTTCAGGGAACATTTTGTAGAAAAAATTAATTTTTTTTTACCACACCAACCAAAAAGTACTTATGATGAAAATGCTAAAACCTTATTGCACATCTACAGAACACTATCTATCATATTCCAAAAGATGAATTGGCTACTTTTTATAATGTAAGAGGAGTTAAAGGATGAAGATAGTGTGACAGTCGGACGGACGGACAAAGGGTACGTTTTACAAATGAACTTCCGACTAAGACCAAAAAATTAGGTTGATTGTATAATCTTGCAAAATTCATGATTCTGTTAAAAATTCCTTGCACAAAAATATTTCAATTCTTTTTTTTTTTTTTTTTTTAAAAGATTAAAATCATTTATTAATATAAACAAGAAAGTTATTCGCAGAATTGCATTTGAGTTTTAATCGTAAGTTCTTCTGAAAAATTGGACCCCAATATAACAACAATATACCTGACCTTTTGAAAGTGTGGATGAAGCAACAAGTAGGAATGTTTGATCGTACAATTTGTACGTGGAATGCACTCAATAACTTGTACTAGAAATGCTGCACTTAATGCATGATGTTCTTGAACCTTCTTTTACAATAACAATGATATTAGATAATCAATCAACGTCATAACATTTCTTTAATAAAAAATTATTTCATTTTGCTTAAACTTTTGAGAATAAAAATGGCAAAATGCATAATAATTCCTCTTATTTGGAAATTCGATAATTGCATTGTACAAAGACAAAAGGTTGTACTTGGCGTTCTAAACAGCTGATGTCCGAGTTAATTTGTTCATTGTAACCTCGGTTACCCTCGAATCGAGTCATCCAATCGCACGAGATAAGACAGAGTAACCTCATGATAAAATGATTTCCATTCCAATATAAATACCGTCTCTCTAGATACGGTGTCGTTAATTTAATTGTTTCTTGTGAATGCGCATGTGCCTTGAAGACTTATAAAAGGGTAAAGTTCCTGAGATAGAGTGCCACATTGTCATCATGTTGTCCACTTCAAACATTGTCCTTCTCTTCGTTGCTGTCGTTGGTGTGTTTGCGCTCCCCGGGGTATGTTGACTTCTACTTTATTTTAAAACTTTAATTTGATAAAATAATTGCATTTGCTCTTGTTTCACTTAATACTCCTTGCACTTTCTCTTGAAGCTGGATCGCAAAACTTAAACTAAGTAGACAGGCACCTTTGATTTTAATTTTCTTAAACTATTTTGTTATAAGCACGAAAAGATGCAAAATCATCATCATCAATTCCTTCTACATGTGTCTTCTGTTATATAGAATTCATGTGGACCTTTATCAAAAAATATTTATTCAACCTTTTTGTCTAGAATCTGAAGTTAAGTTTTTCATAAAAGTTTTTGCCTTGCATTGTAAATGTATTCAAATATTCTTAGCAGCGCAGCAAGTTTGTTGAATGGTTCAAGGAATTAGAGGATCTCTTGAACATTATGCATAACTGGAATCATTAGAATTGTTAACTTTATTTCAAATTCTGACTCCATATCAAGTTTCAGTGTTGCCTAAAAAATTGCAATATAAAAAAATTACAGGTGGCAAATTGATAATGGTTTTGCTGAAAGCACTGTTTCCTAAAAAAAAAATGTAAATAATTTCAGCACAGTAAAAAAAAAGTGTTCGCAGGTTAGCTATGTGGTTAGTTTTGCTGAATGTACGGTTTCCTTAAATAGAAAGACAGATTAAATGTAGACCATAATTCAGAGAGTTTTTGCAGGTAGTAGTGAATAAGATACACTAAAGATAGGCCGCTACCTGTGTATCGCTCCTGCAATAAGCGTCGAGATCAAACGAGCTTGGTTGGATACACAAAAGTTTGACAAACAAATATGCCATTCAAATATCTAATATTACGGTCACCCTTAGTCAGTCTTGAAGAAGAGAATCTAGGTCATGAAAAGACAACGTGTTCTGACCTAGACGCTAAGTCTCGTCTTATCATTCTAAAACTTGAACGATAAAGGTCATCACACTTGTATCTATAGTACAAACCTCTTTAAGATTGTTCCAAAGATGAAATGAAGAAATCTGTCCTCTGAATAGGTACAGGACGTTTTTACAGAATCATCAGAAAGCAATTCAATACTACCATTTTAAAAAGAAACTCAAACCGATTAAGCATTTATGGGAAATCTGATTTTGGTAAAGAGAAAGAAATTTTAATTTTACAAATGTATTTTAACTTTTCGTTTAGTAAAACATTATTTTTCTTTCAAAAACCAGCAAAAAAGAAACATCATCACTGACAGCAACCGGCTATGGTCAAATGGAAAAGTCCCAGTTACCTTCGATTCCAGTGTTGGTAAGTCCAATGCAAATTCATCCCTGATATTTCAGCATTGTGGTAGCCTTTTTGCGAATGTATATAACTAGATACACCAACACTAATGGTATAATCTAAAACACTTTGCTAACATTCTGATATAAATTTGAAACATTATCTTCAAAGAGAAAGAAATATTTGACATGAAAATAAAAAAATTGTTTTCAACATATCCAATTCTGTTTTTCAGTTGGTTCAATGAAAGAGAAGGTCCTTGCAGCTATGCAGGAAATCTCCTTTTCAACACATTCTAATGGTCAGACTTGTGTCCAGTTTGTCCCCAGAACACAGGAAAAGGACTACGTTGTCTTTACTTCAGTAGTTTAGTTAGTATCACTCTTTTCTTTTGCAAGAACTTATTACATAAATTGTGTATTTGATCAAAGTAGTGTTTACCAGAATTAATTGACTGTATAATCTACTAAGATTTACCGTTACAGCTAACCAGATGCTTCCTTGAGAATATTGAGCAAATAAAAACTTGAAATTGGTTGCATTGATTGTTTATTATAAAACACAAAATTAAAAAATGCAACCAAAAAGGTCCATTGCTTCTGTATATCTATAATCCCGTTTGAAAGTGGAATATATATACATCCAAGAGCTCATTTGTTATCATGTTGCCATACTTCGTTTTTCAGTGGGTCAGGGGACAGTTTGCCAGGCCGTCTAGGTGGAGTCCAGTATGTCCACTTGTACCAAGATGCTGCTAAAGCTGACATTATGCAGCTCATTATGTATCTATTAGGTTTCTTCAATGAATTCCGCCGTCCTGACAGAGACAGCCAAGTTACTGTTCATGTCGACAACATCGCTCCAGGTCTGGAATTTTATGTTTTTGTCTCCAGTCATTTCTGTTAAACATCTGGATTTTTCTTCTCAAACACAGAAGTATCGATGAAGCAATACATCATGTACTTTAAATTGATTATCGTTACAATGACACAACAATCATAGTAATCTTTTAAAATGTCCACTATATCTGCAATTTCTTTCCGTTTTACTTAACACTGATTCGGTTTCTTTCATACAGAATACAGAGGATTTTTCGAAATTACAAACGATACCACCTTCTTTAACTATCCATTCGACTTTGAATCCATTACCTTCTTCTTCCCATATGCCTGGGCCATTGATCCATCCAGACCCACACTTACACCTAAATACGACTCTGTCACAATCCCATACAAACTCTCCCTTAGCAAATATGACATTCTGAACATCCAGAGGGAATACAAATGTGGAGTTGGTATGTATTCTTTGTCAAAAATGGTGGCTTCCAACACACAATTTCAGAAATGAATATGTTAAGTTAATTAAAAATTATTTTCTTTGTTTCAGAGAACGGAAATCAGATCGACCTGCTGGATGGTATGTTATTTTCATCACTCAATATATATATATATATATATATATATATATATATATATATATATATATATATATATATATATATATATATATATTTATATATATATATATATTGGCAAATAAAAGACAAAACAGTCAATAATCGTCTTAAATACTTGAATGCGTTTATAATATCGAAGTATGTCTACAAGAAAAAATATTCTTTTTAGGAACTGTTTCCTTTTGCAACTTTGAGTTTGATCTATGTGAGTGGACACAGTTGACAGATGACGATTTCGACTTCCAAAGAATAAAGGGACCAGGTCCCAATAGCAACTTTACTGGCCCAATGGCTGATTACAGCAGCGGAAATGGTATTTAATAGCCATAGAGTCTTAATTTTAAACAAATAAGTTTTAAAAGCAGCATAAAATAGTGATTTTTGGAACAAATGTAAATAAAATAAATCGAAACATTCTAAATAAAATTTGCTTGATATACGATAGGCTACTACATCTTTGCCGAAGCAACGGGCGAACATAATGAGGAAGCACGAGTTATCTCCCCTACCCTGAAAGCCGGTGAATACTGTCTCCGATTTTACTACTTCTTGTACGGTCAAGATATCCACAAGTTCAGAATTAACACAAGAGTGGGTGCAGTTGATACCGTCCTGGACTCATTGGAGGGGAATCAGGGAGGAAGCTGGCACACGTACTCTAGAGATATTAAAATGAACACAGACTTCCAGGTTCGTTTTACTGTCGTCATGTTGAACCTTAATGTGGTGTGTCATAAAGAATGTAGACAGAAAATTATTGCCCAAAAGACATATTTTATAATGCTAGATTAATGACAACAACAACAAAAATATCTTGTTAGAGTAAGTCTTGTTTAGAGTCAAGGAATGTAGGAAATCTCAAGGATTGAAAATGCATGAACACTACTAATTTGAGTGGATGTCGATATACTGTTAATTCTAAAATATACTGAATTTGAATTCATTTCAGATCTTCTTGGAAGCCATCATTGGAGGAACAGACAACGGGGATATGGCATTTGATGATGTCTACATCTTCCGTGGCCGCTGTATAGCTTAAACTAGATACAGTTAAATTTAGCATTGGGACTTACTAATGTCCCAAATGACTTACATTTCTTTGATCAAAGTTTTGTTTTCTTTGCAGTAACATCGATAGAACTCTCAAATCTTTGTGTGAAGTATTTTACTTGTGTTACCATTATAGTTAGGGGATTTAATTACGTCATCATATTGTGTACATTTTCATCAAATACTATTTTTTGCATATCTTTGTTTTAATAAAGATGAAATGTGTACATGGTTTTTTTTTATTTTTAAGTCCTTCATGAAAAGTTTCGTTTGGAATTATTTCAGATGAAGGTAAAGCAAAGTAACACCTGGATGCCTTTTCTGTACAAAAATTACATACTAGTATATTTTGTCCTGCATAAAAGCAATTGGGAAACCCTTCTCATTGTTATGGATGCCTTTTATATACAACATTGCACATATTCTTGTCTTGCATAACACAATATATATTTTTAAAAAATATAGAGCAGTATTCGAGTTCAAATATCAGCTGATCGTGTTCATAAAACACTGCTGTAATTTTATACATTACGGGTTGAAATCAGCCGTATTTGTAAGTTAAAAAAAGACAAAGACAGCAGCTTTTTTATGAATGCAAGACAATATTTGTCTAGTACTTGCATTTTAATGATTTATACTAAAAATGTACAGTGCAGAACTCGTGCTCATTCTTGAATAAGATCGAAGTGATAAGTTTCGAAACCTTCTTTAATAAAAAAAAATCGGCATTTACTCTAACATGTTTTAGCTAACCCATCTCAAATTGCACTCCATTATCCATGTCCCTTTTTCATGATCATCAACCATCATGCTTTTCGATCCATCATTATTGTGGTGAATGATATTATTCACGGAATGTTATAATCTTCACTACCTTTGCATGCTCTGTTTAAGTGTGTAAATATTACATTATGATACTTAATATTAATTTAATTGTATTCATATAAAATTCTGAAAAATTTGGATAAAGAATTGGTTTGGTCGCCCAATGTACTTTCGTTTTCTGATTCTTTTTTAAAAATTAAGATAAGTACAATACTACAGTATACAAGTATATCGTGTAATTATTTTAATTTTGAAATAAAAAGCAGTAAACGACAGTACCTCTAATTTCAGTTAAATTTTAAAAATCGCTGTTAAGCGCATGTTTTAAGAGCACTACATGTATGAATATGTTACTATAATGTGTATGAATTAAGATAACATGCAGAATCCATAGAGTGCATATTTTTGCGTATTCCTCAAAGCAAACTTATGAGTTTTTCCTCTGCCTATTTTTCCCTTTAGACTTCAAAGTTTCAATTTAGCTGTTTACTTCCCTGAGGAATTTTAATAGGATCTTAGTGTACATATTTTTCACTAGATGTTTTTTTAATAAATAATTGAAATATTCGTCATTCATTATATGCATTTGCTAGTCATTCTAGCATCACAAACTTTCGACTCCTTAGTATTTGCTTAGTATTTGCTTTCGTAACAACGTTGTCTTTGTTTGTAAGGCTCATTATATTAAATGTATTTTAGAGGAACTTGGATTTAATTCTACAAGTGGTAATCCAACTTATACTCGTAGTTCCCTTTCTAAGGAAGAAATTCTTCAAAATCATATGTCAGTTTTGAATATTTTTAATATTCCAAACAACCAAAATGAATTTGAATTACCATATTTATATTGGATTCCGAAACTTCATAAAAATCCCTATAAACAAAGATACATAGCGGGTTCCAGTAAATGTTCAACCAAGCCTCTTTCTTTACTCCTCACTAAGATATTAACAGTGGTGAAGGAGAAACTTCAAGAGTACTGTGCAACAATATATTCGAGAAGCGGTGTAAATCAGATGTGGATACTTAAAAATTCCAAAGAACTTTTGGAAAATTTGAAATCGCAAGATTTTACCAAAATCAACAGCTTAAAAACTTATGACTTTTCTACTTTATACACAACCATTCCCCACGATAAATTAAAGTCCAGGCTTTTTGATATAATTGACAGCTGCTTTTTCAATAAAAATGGAACTCGTAAATATACTTACCTTGTCATTGGTCATTTGCAAAATTATTTTGTTAAAAAACATTCTGATTGTACACACAAGTACTCTGAAGTTGACATTAAAAAGATGCTTGAGTTTCTGATTGACAATATCTATGTGGTTTTTGGAGACCAGGTCTTCCAACAATCTATTGGAATTCCCATGGGTACCAATTGTGCCCCGTTATTAGCAGACCTTTTTTGTAATCATATGAAGCAGAATTTGTCCAAAATCTTGTACGTGAAAAGAAGAAAACACTTGCTGTGGCCTTCAACTCGACATTTAGATATATCGACGATGTATTGTCAATTAACAATTGCTATTTTCATTCTTATGTCGATATGATATATCCTGGTGAGCTTGAGATAAAAGATACCACACATCTGTTTCATATTTGGATATTTTACTTGAAAAAGACGTTAATGGTAATCTAACAACCAAGCTTTATGATAAACGTGATGACTTTAACTTTTCAATCGTCAACTTCCCTTACTTATGCAGCAATATACCTTCATCACCTGCATACGGGGTATATATCTCTCAGTTGATTCGATACGCAAGAGCATGCTCTAAGTATGAACAATTTCTTAAACGAGGTAAATAATTGACAAACAAGTTGATGAAACAAGAATATCAGCAGTCTCGTTTAAAGTCATCATTTCGTAAGTTCTATGGTCGATACAATGACCTTGTCAGCAAATACAATTTATCATTGAGTCAAATGCTGACTGACGTTTTTCATACTAATTGTTAGGCCATTATTTACACACTTAATTGTCGACGGATTTTTCCGTTATTTCCCGATCATGACAAGGAGCACACGGCGGGTATGACCGGTCGGCAGGGGATGCTCACTCCTCCATGGCACCTGATCCCACCTCTGATGTTTAGAGGTCCGTGTTTACTCTGCTCCTATTTTGTATTGTTTAATGGACTTTTGAGCTTGAATACTGTTCGTTATCTCCATATATTTCACTTAGAAAAACTACAGTCCTGTATACAAGTATCAAACCTTTTCTATTCCTTTTGCCCGACTTACCCAAATTAATTCATTAATTCATGATACAATTTTTGCTCGTAATAAGTTAAAACATTGCCAAGAATTTCATTTGAATATTATCCAAAGAAGGAAATTGTTCAGCATCTTGGGGGTTTGGTAGATAAAATAAAATGATTTTTCGTTTGTGAATAGATAGACTAAGTATAGAACTGATTTTCAGATAGAAGTGTTGTTAATTTGCCTTTGGAATATGTTTGTGAAAATTCCCATATTTTATTTACACCACAAGGCAGGTTACTATTCAAATTTTGCCTAGGGTACAACCCAAGACTGAACTCATTACCAAGGTCTTTGTTACGAGTTGACTTTGTCGTTTGGTTACGAGTTGACGTGTGGGTTCGATTTGACTTGGTTACGAGTCGGTCAGTTTACGAACTGACTTAATACCGGGGAGATTTACAACAAATATTTATTTAACTTCATTAAGATAGTATTTTCATTAATATTTGGGTATGGATGTCAAAGCACTGGACGACTACTAGGCATATACATATCGCATATACATATCGCTTACATATACATATCGATCTTTTCAGAGGCATGGACAACACAGCTTCTTCGACTGCTCAAATCTTTACTAGATTCGGAAAATGATGATAAGGTCCTTTAAATGAATTATCGCAAGGCATCATAATTGTATATAACTTATATTTTATTTGAAACTTGATTTGCATCTGTACAGATATTGATTGAGTGTTACGGTAACTTTTTTTCCATCCTAGTACATGTAGATAGAAAAGAATATTGAGTGGTTCCTTAGTAATTTTGTCTATTGTTTGCAATAAATACTATTTGTGTACTAAAAAAAGATAGCGCGATTGAGTTATACTTTGAGGCTGGTCGACATGCCTCTTTTCGACATTCTATTAAATACATGTATTTATTTGTATAAAAGATTTTATATTTGAATATTCTACTAAATATGCACTATTGACAATTGTTTTGCTAAAACTGAATACAATTTAACGTCTTTCAGTTGATTCATCTTTATGTCCCCCTGTGTGCCGCCATCTTTTCAGAAACCCTCTCTGTAATCCGTAATCATTGTATTGAGATTATATATTCACGGATTGTTATGATTTTCACTGCCTCTGGGTAAGTGTGTACCTTTATTACATTACAATACTTGATATTGATTAGAATTCTCTCTATTCATTTCGATACAAGAAGGGATCGGGACTCTGCTTCATGCATTGAATATTTTTTTCAGTTCTGAAACATTTGGTAAATCATATGGTTTGGTCACTCCATTTACAGTACCACCAGTTTCAGTTGATCTTTAAAGGTGCTTAGACACAGATTTGAAGTTAATATTTTCACAAATTTTCTGTATAATATCACGACTTATATATTGCAATAGCATTTCACACGAAAATATAATTAAAAACTTATTTTATCTGGAAATTATTGGAACTACGAATTTCTGGACACGTTTGATTAACACATCCTTGCACTTTCACAAATTTTATCTTTATCCTTAATATTTAAGAAAAGAAGCGATTTTGTTGTGTATTCATGAAAAACATTACATCTATAATCCAGAAAATCTAGAGTAGAAATGTGCAAAAGCAAACCCCCTCACTAATATCGTCAGCCCGTGCTCAGTGTTGTGTACAGAGTTTAACAAATTGAATACACCCGTGAAACGTAAACTGTTTTTGTAAACAGGGCACGAGCTCTGTTATTGTTAATGTTTACGATTCACCGGGTGTGTTCAATTGTTAAAGTCTGCACACACCACTGAGCACGGACTTACAATACTGTGAGTGGGTTTTGCTTTCGAACATTTCTACTCTGAATTTTCTGGATTATAGTTTTAATATTTTTCATTAATACACAACAAAATTGCCAGTTTTCTTAAGTATTAAGAATAAAATTAAAATTTGTGAAAGTGCAAGGATGTGTCAATCAAACGCGTCCAGAAATTTGAAGCTTCAGTAACTTCGAGATGAAATAAGATTTTTATTATATTTTAGTATGAAATGCAATAGCAACATATAAGTCATGAAATTC